GTAGCAATGTACCATGGATTTGTTGTCTCCCGTAGCAATGTACCATGGATTTGTTGTCTCCCGTAGCAATGTACCATGGATTTGTTGTCTCCCGTAGCAATGTACCATGGATTTGTTGTCTCCCGTAGCAATGTACCATGGATTTGTTGTCTCCCGTAGTAATGCACCATGGACTTCCGCTCCAAGTGGAGCTGGAGGTGGATGTGAGAGCAGGGGTGGAGGTGGAAGTGGGATTAGGGGTGGAAGTGGAAGTAGAGGTGGAAGTTGAGCTGGAAGTCGATGTGGGAGTGGGAGAGGAGGTGGGAGTGGAAATGGAGTGGAAGCGGAGGTGGAAGTGGAGTGGGAAGTGTTGGTGTATGTGTAAGTGGGAGGTGAGTTGGCGGTGTTTGAAGTGTAGGTGGGAGTGGAGATGGAAGTAGCGGTAGAGGAAGTAGCAGTGTTGGTGGAAGTGGAATTGGAGATGGGGGTGGATATGGGATTGGAGGAACATTGGAGATGAGAGTGGAGGATGGAGACATAAGAGATTATGCAAGGATTTGATGCTTAGGAGAAAACAAAAAGAAGGGGGATACAGAATGGGGGATATTTAAAGTAGGTCACAATGTGACAGGGGTGTAGTGGTTAAGTGGGCATCTATGCCAGTGAAGACTAACATATGATTTGGCAATTATGCCAGAGTGGGCCAACGTACAAGTGAGTGAACAACATAGGAGTGGACAACTATGAGAGGGGTAAAACATAAGAATAGGAAACTATGAGACAGGAGTGGGCAACTATGAGAGAGGGAACAACTTAGTAGTGAGAAACTATGAGAGAGGGAGCAACATAGGAGTGGGGAACTATGAGAGAGGAAACACACGAGTGGGCAAAGATGAGAGGGGGAACCAACTAACGAATGGGAAAATACGAGAGAGGGGACCGAGTTACGAGTGGGCAGCCGTGACAGATGGGGTCTAAGTTATGGACAAAAATTTGAGAATCAAAAAAAAAAAACCGAGAGAGACTTCTCTCAGTATCAGCTTACTGGATACTTGTTCAAGAGTGTGCTATGTCCTGTGTACAAGTGTGATCGAGATCAACAAGCTGGATGGCATGTGTTTGGTCTTCAATTGCTCACGTGAATACAAGCATTTGTGTAAGGTGGCGACAGACTCTAAGTTTCGCATTACTAATTTAATTTCTTTGTAGCAAACGACTGCAGGAATCTGGCCGAACGCCTCTAGGTCAGGGACCCACACCACCAAGGAGACTTGGGGATGTCACATGGGATCTTGCCTCTTCGCGGCGTGGCAGACCAGTAGGGAGGTTTCCTCCTGAAGCTAAAAGATCCCGGCCACTTGCATGACTTCCAACGCAAAGGAAGTAAGCAAAAAGATGATTACTTTTTGCCGATAACGGATATGAGGTCTGGGTGGCGGCCAAAATCCTTGCTGATGATTTTAACCACGTGGCCCTGAGAAAGCCGCTCCTAGGCGACCGTTTCGTCCCCGCTACGTCCCGACCGAACAACTCCCTGGGCGGTGGGGGGAGGTAAAGCAACACCTCCCCTCGGAGAGGAAGTAAAGCCGTTCTGACCCAAGGAGAGTGGACCGCGCACGCTTTAAACGCAGCGTTTTCAGTCGACATGACGTCCCCCAGGCCAGGGGGGAGGTCTCCGGCGTGCTTCCGCACGGTCTGGCAGCGGGGAAACCCGGCGTGGGCCCGTGTGGGGATGTGCCGGGGGGGGGGTATTAAGAGCTCACGCTCGACGACCCACCGACGCCATCTACAATGAGACGTTGTAGCAAACGTAAGCCAATAAATACCCCACGTACATTGAGCTTACTCTTCTGAATACTAGTATCTAGCTTGTTTTTTATTTTATTTTTTATTTCGTTATTTAAAAATATTCAGATAAATTCTTTACTTTGATCAGCAACATCACAAAGTGTCAGATGCTTCGCGGCACACCTAGCTCATCTCGCGGCACACTACCAACGGTAGGAAAGAATTTAACTGTAGCTTGCTTTGAAACTGTTACAATTTAAAACTGTTCACCTAATTTCAAATAAAAAAACATATTTTACACTAATGATAAAGATATCATCAAAATTATAACAAATGAATAAAAAAATATACGATTCGTATGTCTGTCTGGAACTAACGTCCCTGTATGAAGGAAAAAAAAAAACAACTCAAAATAACAGCCATGGCGAGAAGGGGGGAGAAAACATGGTGAGGAGTTAGTTCACTTTATTTGAGATGGCAACACAAACAAGGGTCCAAT